AGCAAACAAGAAGGGGCTCAGGGCCGATCCTTGATGTAGTCCCTCCTCCACCTTGAAGTCATCTGTCCTTCCAACAGCACACCTCACCACTGTTGTACTATTCTCATACATGTCCTGCACCAAACTAACATACTTCTCTGCCACTCCTGACTTCCTCATACAAAACCACAATTCCTCCCTTGGCATTTTGTCGTATGCCTTTTCTAAATCTACAAATACACAATGTAGCTCCTTCTTACCTTCTCTGTACTTCTCCATCAGCATCCTCAAGGCAAACATTGCATCTGTGGTACTCTTCCTAGGCAACTAGGCAACTGGAATGTCCACTTCCTGCCTCAACCTAGCATCAACCACTCTTCCCCACATCTTCATCGTCTGGCTCATCAAATTTCTGACTCTGTAGATGTGACATCACATCACCCTTCTTATGAATTGGCACCAGAACAGTTTTCCTCCACTCATCAGGCATGTTGTCTGTCTCTAAAATTCTGTTAAACAACCTAGTCAGAAAATCCACCGCCACCTCTCCTAAACACTTCCATACTTCCACTGGTATGTCATCGGGACTCAACTTTCAGATTAATGATGTCTAATTTAATTTTAAACATGTAAATTAAATTTTTTATTACAGATTTCATATGATTTATTCTTAGGACGTGAATTGTTACTTCTATTATCATGATTAAGGCATACCTGAGATTTGGCTTGTGAGAAGCTCTGGACCTGACCTTGTACAGGGGAATATGGGCTGCAAGGCTCTCCACTCAGCAAGGTTTCACTGTTCATCTTTGTCTTGAGGCAGGCGATGTAGCGGCTACAGAAATCCTTGCATAGATCACTCACCTTCTCTAACTCAAGCAAGTGGATCCGCAGCACCTGGATAGCTTTAACCATCTACGAGTTAGAAACAGAAACGATACCAAAGGGTTCAAATAATTTAAATTATATACCATTTGCATTCAATTGATTTCATTTTTAGTACGGTCAAGCCTATTCTTAATTTTAAGATGCACAAAAAACTTATAGAGAAAATATAAAGAATACAGGAAATAATATGAAAATGGATTTTTCTAGTAAATCAAAGTCATGATGAACAAAAAGCAAGAGTTGGTGTCAAGCAGTTAGAGACAGGGGCATGTTGAGTAGCAACAATTCTCTAACTACAAGTCACTAACTGTTACATTTACAATCAAAACAATATTCACATGTTGCTAGGCACATACGTCACTATACAGTACAAATAGATCTTAAAAACACACATATATACATATTCATATGTACATGTCCTGTACATGGGTGTCAAATTAACGCAGTAATTGAGATTCATTAATTACACACACATTTAGCGCAGTATGTTTTTTAATTGCGTTAAACTAATTTTTAATCTCTAACTTTACTATTGCGGTATGCAAGTTGCATTTTTATAAAAACCTGTTTGTGTTGGGCTTCTTGTGCTTGAGATGTTGGGGGTGGAAAACAATGGTCAGTCACACCGGAAGTGGATATTGATTGGCTGTCAGTGTGTTTGGGCTTGTTTAGCATAATCTAAAAGGGTCCCACTGAACTTGGGGAGGACAGAGCGAAGAG